ACTCTTGCGGTCAAATATGAGGGCATCCTCTCTCTCACTCTTTGCAGCGCAGACCCTAAAACCGTCCCTGTCTGGATTTTCTGCTTTCCTCATTCTATTTTCTCCCAGAATCTGTTTGCAAAACATTTGATGGAATTGGCAAGTTATTTGCACTGCTTTTGCATTGCAGGCTGCCTAATTCAATTGCAATTATTTGTAAACTGCCGCCATAACTCTTCCTTGGCTAATGTCTGCAAACTGTTTACTAAACAATAAACTTAATCATGCATTCATTGTTGCAAACGTCTCCAAATAGCTTTAGAGTAGAGCTGACTTGACATTTTTGCCTATTTGCAAAGCCATGAAGAATGTTTTCTGCGTAGACGCTGTGTTCTATAACATTTAGTCATTCTATTTCCTGCGCCTCTTCGGATCTATTGCAAATAGGGATGGCCTCTTTTTTGGGTCAGTCAATGTGCTGTACCAGTACTGGTAGCAAAAGCAAACTGGACTGGAGGTAAGGCTCTGGTATCTTTAAATGAACAGAAGTATGACAGCGTGACACAGGCAATAGTCAGGGTATATAATATTACATGACTGTTCACTTAGCACATTAACCCAGTTTTTGTTATATTTAAGACCCTGCATGTCCTACAGACGTATAGGCCGTGAAGACAATGGCTCTGCCCATGGGGAATCTGATTGGATGTGAGGGTGGAAGGAAGCAGAAAGAACAAAATAACTTCTAATATGCAAACCTAGACATCTGTAGGACTCAGGGTGTCATTAGTAATTGGACAGATCAGGATAAGAAACTGATTTGGAGAGAAGCTAAGAAATATGGTTCAATTAAGTGTCCATCAGTAGGTGAATGGATAAAAAAGATGTGGTACATATACACAATGGAACATTCAGCCACGAGAAACAAATCCTACCATTTGCAACAACATGGATGGAGCTAGAGGATATTATGCTCAGTGAAATAAGCCAGGCAGAGAAAGACAAGTACCAAATGATTTCCCTCATTTGTGCAAAACTAAAGGAACAAAGCAACAGCAGACTCACAAACTCCAAGAAGGGACTAGCGGTTACCAAACGGGATCAGTGGGGGAGGGCAGGTGGAGAGGGAGGGAGAAGGGGATTGAGGAGTGTTATGATTAGTGCACATGGTGTGTTGGGGGTCATGGGGAAGACAGTGTAGCACAGAGAAGACACATAGTGACTCTGTGGCATCTTACTACACTGATGGACAGTGACCGCAATGGGGTATGGGGGGGGACTTGATAATATGGGTGAATGTAGTAACCACATTGTTTTTCATGTGAAACCTTCATAAGAGTGTATATCAATAAAACCTTAATAAAAAATACTGTATAAAAAAATAAAATAAAAGAAGAAACATGGATCAAAATATCTTGGTTAGAGCCAATAACAGTATATTTTGGCAGAATATTTATCAAAAATGTTTACCAGATACTCTGAAATGGAGTGAGAATGCAGGAATGGTCTAGCTGGAGTTCCTGGCACGGGGACATTGATTGTAGGGGAGTGGGTGACTCTCTGGGAATGAACAAGGTTTCCTGGTGAAGGAGGATGGAAAGAACAGGTTGGCTCATGGTTGCGGGGGGTACTTATTTGGAGACTAGGAAGATGAAAACTTAGTGCAAGATATAGAAAAAAGTGGTGGCAAGATGTCCTAGTTGTTACATGGTCATGGAAGTGAGGGGAGCATTTCAAGAAGTCTGGGGTGCTCCGTGCTGTGGAACCGCCTGCTTCAGATATGTTGAGGGCAATGAGAAAAGCATACTGAGTTCGGGATGAAGTGACAAAAGATCTAATTGAAAATGCTGGGAGGAAGAATGAAGGGTACCAATGAAGCCAGTGTGAGCACCAGGAGCTGTCCACATCCTGGAGCATTATAGCTGCAGAAAGGAGAGAAACTGAGTCCCAGCCAGTAAAATGTCTTCAGTTTGCCCTTTCTTTCACTCTTGACAATGCTGGTTCAGGTCACTTTACCTAAGCCATTAACACCCCTCCCCCATCCTCATTCTCTGCTTCTGAACTTGTTTGCTAAATTAATGGGAGAAAAATGCAATCATTCAGGGGAGGACTTCCACTCGTTTTACCCTGAATCTTTATTCCTATGGTCAATTTATTTTTCCTCCTGTTACTATGAATAATTGGTTTAAGGTCCCCAGCCAAGCCAACCTCTTGTGTACTGATCCCATCCCTTTCTGCCCTCTGAAAAGCATTGCTCCAGCAATTTCCTTCTCTCTTCTGCACTGCCCACTTCCCTTGTTTGTATGTTGATGGTCTAATTCCTTATGCCTTAAAAACACCTTCCCACGACTCCACATCTTTCTCCAGGTCCTACTCCATTCCTCTGCCTGCATCTGCTACCTTCAATTTATCCTGTCCTACTTTTTCTTGAATTAGTCAAATCAGCTTCTCACACTTCACCTCATTGCAACAGCTCTTACTAAGGGGAGCCATGACTTCCACATGGCTAAATTCATGAGCCCATTCATAGTTCTCATTCTATGCATTTGATCACTCTCAAAATTTCCGTTTCTATTGGCTTCCACAGCACCACTTTCTCTTGGTTGTCTTCCCACATCCCTGGACACCATCTCTATCTTGTTGCAGGTATCTCCTCCTCCTGACTTTGAAACATTAGAATACCTCCAAGAAATGGTCTTTGGACTTCTTACTTCTATCTACACTGAATTCCCCTGTGATCCTAGCCTGCCTTTGTCTAAATAATCACCTAAATACTTTTGACTCCAAACTCGCATCTCCAGCCTGGACTTCTTTCCTTAACTTCAGATATTATGTATCTGCTTGTCATATCCACTTGGATATTCAAACCATATCTCAAACTCAACATTCCTAAAACCAGACTCACAACTCCTCCCTAACTATCAGTCTCCCAGATCTGCTCTTTCTTCACTCCTTTCCTAGTAAATGGCAACTCCATCTGTCCGGTGACTCAGGCAAAAGCAATGTGGGCATTCTTAGCTCCTTTCTTTCCCTTACACATCCAAAGCAATCCATCTCCAAATGCCATCAACTCCTCTTTATTTGAAATATATCTAGTCTCATGCCACTTTTTTGCCACATCCGTTGCTACGGCGTTGGTCCAAGTCATTATCATTTCTTGCCTGGACTCTTACAGTAACCTTCTACCACATCTCTCAGCTTCTATACCTGCTTATCCAGGGCCTCTTCACAATGGAGCAGCCAAAGAGCTTCTCTAAAAATATTGTTCATGCCAGTCTTCTGCTCAGAGGCCTCCAGTGGTTCTCTAGACCTCACCAAGAGTAAAAGCCATACTCCTTTCACTGACTTTAATGCCTTACCTGATGTAGAATCCTTTAACTTCTTCTCCCTCACTACTTTCAGTTCCCTCTACACCAGCTGTATGGGCCTTTGACCTGCTCCTTAAACAAGCAAAGTATCTCAGGGCCTTTGCTTGTTCTTTTCCCCTTTATTGGTACACTCTTCCCCCAAATCTCAGTAATTTTCCCCTAAACTTCTTTTAGTTTCTGCTCAAATGTCACCTGATTTGAACCCCGTCCTGTACAGAATAACATCACCCACCAGACTCCCTATTCCTGTCTCCACTTTATTTCCTCCAATGTCATCATTTGACCTACCATATGTATTTGTTTGTGTATTTATTGCTTCCACCTAATTGAATGTAAGATCTATGAAAACTGGGAGTTCATCTTCATCATTGTTCTGTCTCCTATTGCCACCATTTAGAAAAGCACCCAACACATGTTCATACTCAATAAACACTGGAATGAATAAAATTCAGCTGAATAAAAGTTGAGTGGCACCTAGCACACTATCTAAAACATCATATTGTCTCAATAAACATCTACTGAATGGATGAACAAATGAATGAATGAGTTTCTAGGGTAAGGGGGATGTATACCCACTTGCAAGCAGAAGACAAGAGCTGGGTGGGGAAAGGTACATGTTATGAAATAGTTAATTGGATAACATGTAAATAGATATTCATCAAGTAAGCCCTGAAAACAAGGATACCAGGATGATTTACATAATCAGCAATATGGAGATTCTCCCTGGATGGGATGGGGCAGAAGAACTGGGTTCCTCCGGACCAGCTTGTGAGAGGGATCCCCAAATCTGGGGTTAGCAAGAAGCTAAATCCAGGAAGCTCAAGTTAGAAGACAAAATAGGTCACAAAAATCAAAGTTTAGAATCATATCAAGGAAGAACGTTCTGGCCCCAGAGTTCTGAGATAGTAGCATTTCAGTCAAGTAAGGAGCAGAGACAGTGGTGGATTACCTTCAAAGAAACCAATTAGCAATACATGGAGATTTCTGCTATGATGAAGAATGAATTCTAGGCCTAAAATCTACACTCTAGTTTTAGCATTTATTTAGGTATAGAGCAATACAGAGTATGACTGTATCATATGTCCCAGCTTGAAATCCCATTCATTCAGTCCCAGACACAAACCTTCACCTGGTATAATCAATTCTGACCCAGAATGGACTTCTGACTGCAGCGATAAGGCAGTCAGTAAAAACTCCATAAAGCCAGAGTCCCGATTGACAGTTCTGCAGAGGCCTCATGTGGGAAACTCACCATCAAGTTTCCCAAACCATTCCACTGGAATCTGTTATTTTCCTCTTGTAAACTGGCCACAAAATACAACTTATAAAGTGCCCCAAAGGACTCTCCACCAAACCATCCAGAGAGCACAAGTCCTCTCAGCTTTCTAAGAATGCCTGCTGTGTAATGAAAAACATAAAGCCTCCAGCTTCCACGCACAGGGTGAGCTCCGGTTGGATGGGAATTAGCACTTCCTCCTGCCAGAACATCCCTCCCCCCTGCCACCCAGACAGCACGTCCTCTCAGCAGCTGCACAACCAAATGAGAAACTACCCCTCCCCTTGATTTTCACTGGTCCCCAACTCGGGGTGCAAACTTCAGCTCTAAAACTGTTAAAGTGAATAATCAAAGGTCATTTAAAATGTGACACTTACTTGAATCAATGTCTTCTTGAGGCTTTTGAAAGGTGCAGCAGGCATAAAATTTAATATTGATTGTTGGGTGCATTCCATTTCCCCTTTCAGAGTCATTTCAGAATGACAACTAATTTGTTCTGATCCGTACAGGGCATGTCTACTGGACACACATGAGTCCTGGGCCCTCTTAGTGAAGCTGAGCTTTCTTTTTTCTGTCCACTTCTCTCAATTGTTCCTCCCCTCCTTACATTTCTGGGTTCCTGCCGTCCCCTTCTGCTCGCTCCTCTTAGCTCCTGTTCTAATTTCAACTGTCATTTCCCTGCTCTCCCGAGTGCTCTGAGCTCCTGTTCTAATTTTTCATGTCTTCTCCCAGCGCTGCCCTCCTTTCTGTCTCTCTGACCCTCTCCTGCTCGCCTTTCCTTTCTCTCTGACTCTCACTCTTCGAGGCTTTGCCTCGGGTTTCGTTTTAGCTTCCGTTGGCTGCCTACTGTTTAATGCAGCCAGTAATAGGAAGTCCGATCAGCTGCATGAATCCCAGCTTCACAAAAATAAAATCGGGCTTTTTTCCATTCTTTCAAACCCAAATTTGAATTCCGTCCCCCCTAAAATATTTCTTTTCTCCTCACCTCCCCACCTCCGGCTCTTTCAGACTCTACTTGCTGTTGGAATAATCTAAGAAAATCTCTTTATATTTCTTGGTTGACAAAAGTAAAATAGAGGGAGCAGATCTGAGAGCTCTCATTCCAATACATTCTGATCCAATTTCAGTTTCTGAAGAAGTTTAGATGGATTTCCAATGAGTAGCCAGCTCAGTGTGAGCTTCTTGCTCATTCCAACAATATTTAAATAGATAAGGAAGTTGAGGTCACCTATGTGTTGTACGTGACATTTCTCAGGGGTCCCTCTCCCCTCTCAGTTGCATATAGACACAACTGTACTCTCATTAATTACGTATTAAATGATCTTGTTATTCACAAACTGCTTCAGGAAGTGTGAATATTGGCAAATGATCTGGGTGGACTTTTGAACATATTGGGCTGGCCTGCAATGAAAGAAATTCTCGATAAATGTGTTGTTGGGATATGGGAAGGACTTCGTAGTAGATTTGGATATCCAGGCTTGCGACAGGACTGTAGGGGTTCCTAGGTACTCATTTGTTCTTCAGGGCAAAAAGGCTCCTTGTATAAAATTCTCCTGGCTTCGAGGATCTGAATAGTTCCGTTTTAAAGAATGCATCCATGCTGATATTAAAGATTACAGGGACTGTGTCCGGAAACATACTGACTTCTAGATTATTGTCAGAGGGCGAGAGCATCTTCTAGACTTACATGGAATTTTCCCATCACTGGTTGGCAAATTAAAATAGGATAGTCAACCACCTGACTGTTTCCAGGAGGCTGTTTTCATATTATGTAATTGGCAGATAGTTTTGGCATAATGCCTTCTCATCTGAAACATAACATTTTACATTTGTTGGATATATATGCATATGTAAAGGAAGAGAAAGTTTGTATTGAAAAGGTCAGGGTTTAAAACTGTACCTATTGTATCCTATTCTTCCAAGGAGTCATGGACAATCTTTCTGGAACTAATATCAAAGGGCTTTAAGAAATTACCAAAGACACGATTTTCTTGGCTCTGTATTATTGCTATTATCTTTACAGATGGCAAATGAAAGTTTGGGGTTATGACATGTAACCCAGTAAACTTTCTGAGTGTCCACTTTATATCCAGTGCTGCGATGATGGGTGCAGGGGTCATAAAGATGAATAAGCCTAAGTTTCTTCTCTGGGGGTGCTTCCAGCTAAAGGTCATATCAAGGGTCACCCGAACAGCCTTAGCCTCATCGGAAAATCTTAATCCCAAACACCCCTCTCCACACAATAACCCTAGAGTTAAACCTCTCCAGGGCATCTGACTTTTAAAAGAAATGAACATAAAACACAAGAATGAAAGGCTATACACATGTTACCTTTTTCACTTCCTTCTCACAGTATTGATAGAATACATACGAACTTTTCAAATACATGGAGGAGAAAAAGAGATGAAATGCACATTCAGCCTAAGTTTCTGATGATTCTCTGCTTCTAATTAAGATATTTTCCTTTTTCTAACAATCTCTAGGGTTTTATTTTTTTCTTTTTCCATGAGAATGAACAGTAAAACCAAAACATAGCGGAGGGGGATGCCCCATAGCTCCTTTGAGAAACAGGAAGTTATGTGAAACCTTGTTTGCCCCTTCTGCTGTGAAGAAGTTAGCTGAAGAGCTGTAACCCTGCACTCTGCTGTGTAAACCACCTACAGAAATGGCAGAGGTCAGCATGGGAAAAGAAGGGGCGCCCTGGCCCCAGAGTGACAACCGAAGTCACTGCTTCCAGGCATCTCAAGATGAAAAGGAAAACCACTGAGAATGTTTGTTGCTCAGCGTTGCTGACTTTCTGTTTCCTCTGCTTTCTGTCTTTCCTTTCTTCCCTACCCCTTCCCCCTTTTTAGTCCTTAAATTCCAAGCCATTGTGAACTTATTAAATGTCTTGCTCTTTTCATAGTCCAGTGACCTCAAATGGGTCAAAACGACAACAATCTTCTGTTTTGCTGCTACTGAATGCTAAGTGTCTGTTGTCTCAGTTGTTTGTGGCTAAGAGGCTTAAGGAAGAAGTGCAATACTCTCCAGAAAGGGAGTGTTGAAGCTGCCTTTGCCATAATTGTGGGGTTTCAGGGAGATGCCACGGGGACCTCGGGGTTGCTGGAAAAGCCATGAGCTACATCCCAACAGCGTCCCTTTTCTGTTCTACAAATGGGGGTTGAACTGTTTTAGTTTTAAAGAAAGGGCTGAAGCTAAAAATAAATTTTAAGTCTGATTGATTTGAGGAGTCTTTTTTGCTATTCCCTGAAATATCCAGATCAATATCTAGGGTTTTTTGTCCAGACCTAGTGTGTTGCTTTTCTTCAGTTTCTTGGATCTTGCTGCATTTTTTTAGTTTATTAGGTGTATTTGGTCACAAGATAGAAATGTCTTTATAGCTTCAATGGTTCCAGATGTAATGTGACAGAAAATTTTTAGGCGCAAAGGGCTCTATGGCCTTTCTGAAATTTCAGTTTCTGTTGGCCATTTTAGCATCCGCCACTCTGCAGCAAAAAAGGAAGGTCCTTACAGGGATGTATTTGCGCTGTCAGGCAACTGAGATATCATTTATTTCATCAGGCCAATATTTAGTTTTCTACGACTAGGGATTTTGGAGTACTGGATTTCATACCCGAGTATGTAGCAGCATCTCCTGGAGGACTAGTTAAACACGGCATGCCGGGCCTCAAACTACCCCCACCCAGGAGTTTCTGATTCAGCAAATGGAGTGAAGCCTGAAAATGTACATTTTTAACACATTCTCTGTTGACGATAGCCATAAGAACAGGGGTAGGAAGAATAGGAATCTGGTATTTTCTGGTTCTTTGTTCACCATCTAGCATACATAGCCTGCAGCAGGAGAAATGCAAAAGCCTATGAAAAGCTCTTTCAACTCAGCATAGTCCGCTGCTGTGCTTTCCTTCCTCTGTACCGTTCCTCAAAGGTGATGTGCTGTGGATTCTGAAGCCCAAGGTGGAAGGTGGTCAAAATGATGTGTCTTCTGGATAACGGAGATGGAAAACCTGTCCCCTTCAGTTCTGGAGCCTGCAAGTCCAAGATCAGGGTGCCAGTTGGTCTGGGTCTGCAAGAGCTTGCTTCCTGGTTTGTAGATGGCCGTCTTCTTGATCAGCCTTCACGAGGTGTAAGTGAAGGACCCCGCATTTCCAGCACCATGAAGGGCACCTCACACATGCCGTCTCCTGGAAGTACAAGAAGGAGAGCAGGTTGATGTCCGTATGTCTGTCTTACCAAGGATGGTGATGTTGTGTCAACGTCTGTGAATCAGGCCACCTCACTCAGTCTTGGTTTCAGGGTGCCAGGGAAAGAGAGGTTTCTTAAAGGAGTGGTTCTCTAAGTATGGTCCCTGGCCAAGCAGGTGCGGGTCATCATCAGCCAGTCAGAGAGCCTCTCTTTGAGAACCACTGCCTCAGAATAACTTCCCTTAGTGAACTTGTTAGACCAGGAAATTTTGACTCAGTAAGTCTGTGATAAAACCTAGGAATCAATATTTTCATTTCATTTACATTTTGTTTTATGTAATGAGTGCTCCCAATGAAACTCAATGTCTGGGGGAATCAATTTTATGTGCAGGATCGATTTGAATAAGGATTTGTAGGTTGCTTACTGAGTTCAGCAATCAGTGGCTGATCTTGGCCAGATGCCTAAATATCTGATCTAAGGCTGATAAAGAAAGAAAAGTTGCCTGAATCAGTTTAGCTATTAGAATAGATGTTGAAGGACAAGTAGCGGGTCTCTGGGTATGGTAGGTGAATGAGGACATGCAGTCAGAAAAGTGGGGGGTTCACATAAGCCCAAGGGTCCCTTGCTTGAGAAACAGCAATCAGTTTGAAAGGCTCTAGATGTTCTGTTTCCATGACTATCTTTGGCTCAACAGTTTCTCCACAAGACTTTAACTTCTCTTCAAGGGTAGAGACCAAGTCTTAGCCTCTTACCTCACTATGTGGAGCTATTTTATAATCCCATGAATGAATAAGGGGAAGGCAAAGGGATGGAAGGATAGGCTAGAAAGGTTTAGTTTGGTGCCAGGTTAGAAAAGATTGTAGAAGACTTTAAATGCCATGATAAATAGCTTGTACCTAAAAGTGTTGTGGTACATTAAAATTAGCTTAATCTGATTAGATTAGTTCCAATCTGATTTGTGTTGTAGAAGTTCACTTTGGCAAAAATACAGCCGGTAGACTGCATAGAATGCAGGGGTCAAAGGTTGCACAGGAAGCTAATGCAATGAACCTGGAAAAGAGATGAAAAGAGATGATGTAGACCAGAATGAGGGCTTCTCAATGATGACAGAGAGGGGCATGAAAATTTGAAAGAAATGACTGAGGTAGATGTGACCAAGCAATCTCTAACTGGATGTAGGTGGAGTTGGCAGTGAATCGTGACTTGAGCTTCCAGTTCAGGTACCTTGGGGAGAGGAGGTGATATAGTTAATTAAAAACTGTATAATGCAAGACTATGAATTTTGCTTTAGATTGGGGTACCCAAGGAACATCCAAGTTCATTGGAAATCAAGAGAAGGTAGATTTCAGATAGCAGTATTTAAATGTTTATGGTGTAAGAGTGGATAGGTTCATCTAGTTTTTGTTCATTTTTGTTCATTTGCTTTTATCTACCCTCTCCCTACGCTTATCCATATATAAGTGCTATTAGGGTAGTTGACGGAATGGGTGAAGGTTGATAAAGTGAACTAAAATGATTTGGGGGGTAGTTATAATATTTCCTTTGGGTAATTTGCCTATTCCTGTATTCAACCTTATTGACTTTCTACTTAGGGACT